AACTAATAATAAAAAACATGTGTCCTGTTATAATCAAAATTGTTTATCTTTTAAAATCTTTATAAAAAATGGAAATCCACATTTAAAGTGCATAGACTAATCCTTGTTGTTTAGACTGGTATTTAAATCACATATAGATAATTTGTTAGATTTGTACATACGTACATATTTTACTACTTTTATAAGTACTGTGTGTGTGTTTCATAATTTTTATAGGAATTGCTTCCCATTGCATAAAAAACATTCGTTGTTTTAAATTATAGTAAGATTTATTAAAAAATTAAAATTTTCATCAGCAACCATATTTTTGGTAGGCAACTTTTTTGAATTTTAACGTATTTTGTAACATACTTTAAGAAAAAGTAATACTTTTCTGCCACAAGGAAGGGTTGTATTTGAAATGATATCGATTTACCTTAGGATCGAGGTGTATTGGGCTCGATTTAACAATTAAATCGAGATAATGCACTTTAACATGATAAAGGTGTAGTCTAAATGCGCCTTTAGTACTGATTTATATTAGACTGTTGTAATTGCCTCAATTCTAAGTCTGTCGTTTGTAGGTGAGAGAGTTGAGGGGAATGCCAACTCTCAACTCCCTCACAAATTACCTAATGTAATTTATTTGATATATAGTTTTGGTTTAATGGGGCGACAGCGATATTATAAACATGTAAATGCCTTCATTTACATTGGGATACATATGCACTGGTATATTGAACAAAAAATGATTATCAACGGAAGTCTTGGAGTTTTTGCGGATATGTTGAGTAACACATCTCCATCTCTTCTCTATCTCTATCTTCTCTCTATATATAAAAATTACATGTATGTTCGTGATCGCTAAACTCAAAAACTACTTCACCGATTTGGACCAAATTGTATATACACGCTCTATGGGGCGTGAGGAGTGTTTCTGTGTAGTTTTAAGTTCATCCGACAGATGACGCAATATTTAGTTTTTTTGTGGTTTATCACCATAATTCAAGAACTACTGCACCGATTTTGACCAAACATTGCGTATATGCTCTATGGAGCGAGAGTATCGTACTTGTGTTTAATTTTAAGTTCGTCCAACAGATGTCGCGATATATATAGCTCCTTTGTGTTTTGCCCGATTAGAGATTGGATGCTTAATCGGCGTGTGCCGACGTTAAGTATTCCGAAACCGACTCATACATATGCTGTTTTCGTGAAAAGCCCATGGGAGTCAAACGATTAAAGAATAACTTATCAAACTCAAGTAAAATTAATGTAAATGTACTTATAAAAATTATGTACAAATGTATAGTAACTCATCTATTGAGAACGGCGGAACCGATTTGACTAAAAGTTTCTTTCAGTTGTCTGCAATTGAAGTGGGAAGGCTTTTATGAAAGAACATTTTGAGAAAAATCCACGAAAATCTTGCAAAACGTATTTTGAAGGAACGGCTGAACCGATTTGCCTACCATTATGTGGGACATACACCATAAAGTTCTATACCGACAATTTACAGAGAAGTTCCTTATCCTACATGAAATACCGAATTAAAGGCAATGTATACGGTATTTGTTACTACTTTCAAAGTACATAAAATCGTACATAAGGAAGCTTAAAAACGCACAATAATGGTGAGCCAATTTTTTACATTATAAAACCAACAAACCCACACTATTGGGTGAAACTTGAACGTATTTGAAATAGGAAATAAAACCAGCTTTATTTGTAAAAAATGTCAACACATATACATAGGATATACCAAAATGTCCATTACAAATACCTCAACAATTTAGCTAGCTATGGAAAGTATTATTGAAAATTTTATTATATTCGGGAAGTATATATATATATATAAATTTGAATCCTACATGGACACAATTGCGCATTAGATGCTCTAGGTTTCTAACTTATATGTGCTTTTATGGTTCCTCAAATATATTTTTCATGATATGAAAAATGTTTCCACTGAGAACGACTGTACCAATTTGACTCACATTTTACTTCGATTGTTTTTAATTGCAGTGGAAAGAGTTTTACCAAAGAAATTTTTGAGAAACAAATAAAAAGTCGGAGATTGGAGTAATTGAACACAACACACCTTTTATAGGACTTATGAATCCTATGTGATCAAAATAGGAATAGTTATTATCTTTTGAGATAAGAGTAGTTAGAACAAAACATGACCTTCTCCTGAAAAATGTTTGATGGAATAAGTTCGATCAATTGATAAACTGAAATACCACACATACTGACATAATTTAATACGGCATTTACATTAGAACTTTTTAATATTTAATATATTCAAAGGAATTGAAAATTTAAACCCACTCGGTTAACCAAATGCGGTTCAATGTAAACGACCTTTAATATTTAAAAATGTTTACCGCCATGAGCAAAATATTATGCATATTTTTTGATTGTGGAAATTTGACGAACATTTTTTGGTAAATTGTTTCTGAAATATATTTTCCATGAATTCGTTAAATTTTACCAACCCCATATTGAAGCAATTCTGATAAGGCAAAAAAACGTTTGCCGGGTCTGCTAGTTTCTTTATATGTATATTCTGAATTAAATTCATGGCATAACTATACAAGGTAGTCTCATGCAGTCATATGTTTCCAATTTTTTCATAAATTTGCTTTTGACAACATTCAACTCTTAAAATTTAAAGGATATTCTTCCTTCGAAATGTACGCAAATCTTGTGTCCAGTGGCAAAAAATGTTGAATCATTTATATTTATTAATATTTTTAAGTTCCCGGCCTATAAAACCTATAAATATAAATAACAACATTCTTAGTTAAATCTTGAGAACAATGTGGAGCTTTAGAAAAAAATATTTTTTTTTTAATTTGTTAAAAATTTACCAATCGCCATGCGTAATATTTTAAGGAATTTATATTTCATTTTATTTGAAATTGAGGTTCGTACTTAAGGGTCGTACCTAAATTCATGCGTATGTGTACGATTTTATTCACCTCAAAAGTTAAATACATGTATTTCAATGAATGTTATTCAAATACGCATTGCGTATAAAAATATAAAGTTGAAAATGTTCAACATTGACAATGCGTATTTTGGATTTTTTGTTTTTTGAAAATAGAATTGCATTCATTCAAAATTTGTTTTTCTATATTTGTAAACATTTTTCGGTTAATTGAGAAAATGTTTTCATCCATTTTCGCCGTTTTCAATTGGCACAGATGCAAATAATGCCTTTGCGTATTTGGGTAATACGGACGTCCAAGGTAGATATACAAGGTGGCCGCATCGGCGAATTTCTACAACAAACATCGGTTGTTGTATTTTGATATGTCAAAAATATTTTGCCAAAACAAACAGATTGACAAGATTTTTTTACACAGATTCTTGTAGAAAATGTTAATAAAAGTATTGCAAAAAAAACTCTTCGGAGATTTTCATTCACAATTTTGTTTTTTTAATTTTTTGGTTCAACATTACAACAACATTTTTGACATTTATTTGTCCAACAGCTGGGCCGATGCGGCTACCTTATTAAATATACCTTGCCGACGTCTATCAAACCCTAAAAAGGTGAGTATTTTTGTACGGATCGCAATAAATTAGGTAGGACCCTGATACATGAATTACAAATTAAGAAGGATTGCCATTATCAATTTCTCAAATGAAACAACTTTGTAAGTTATGTCATGATTAAATTGTACAAAAATTTTTATAAACGCTTTTTTAACCCATATATGACGAGTATACTACATGTAGTGCAGACCATATCGCTCTGTTTACCGTTATGTTCTGCACAACCTTAGCATTCTGATTAAAAATTTTAACATGAACCTAAAAGAATCTACTCATTTTACATGTTTTGCAACTTTTTACTCGAAAACCGTGCTTCAACCCACAAAACTGGTAAAACATTGACTCAAATTTAAGAGAGCACAAAACAAAATGGCGTTCCCTTTGTAAACTTTTTACTCGAGAAATTTGGCCGAGTAAAAATGGTAAGCAGGAATGCCTACTTCTGATTGGCTGTTATGTTGATTTTGAAGTATTGCCATCTAATTTTGGCATATTTACTAGTTTAGCGTTCCCGAACTTTTCAAATTATTTTGTACTCTGAGAGCAATTTTTAAATGTTTCGCTTTTATTAGCTTTACTATTAAAAATTTAATGGAACGGACCAGAAGTATACACATTAACCTAACTTTTTTATATATTTGCAATGAATCATCCAAAGGCAACTTTATTACCCATTGTGTTCAAATTGTTGGTAGAAAGTTCGGACCTATTTCTGAAATTTTAATACAACCAATCCTCTACATCCTGGCATTTTTTCGACACCTATTATAGCTATGTTTTTCGATAGTTTTTATCGGATATGTTGACAAAATGTCGGTCATATAAAATTGAAAGACTTCGATCGCAACAACTTGGTATCGACTGTCTGAAATTGCCCCCTGATTAAAATGACGAAGTCTAATTTTCATTTTTGGCACAAAAATATGACAAGTTTATTGTTACAAGTAATATCCACAAATGTGTATTTTTACAAAATTAAATTAAAGAACCACAAATTTCTGTTAACGTCAGAATAATATCAATCAATAATGTAAAGTTTTCACTTTCAGTCCTGGACAAAAATGTATCAAAAATGACTATCATAATACTATAAGTACACTTAGAGGAGAGGAATGGTTAGGCGAATATTCACTCGCCAGATACTGTGATTAGACAATTTTTTTCTGTCTTTTTTTAATTACATACTAAATTTTATACAGTTTAATGTCGGGCAAAAATAGGTGGTATTAGCTCATATGAGAGTAAATGAAAGTAATACGTTTTAAGGTTAAAATAAAATATGATAAATTTTAGGTTACATTCTAATGCAAATTTTATAACTATCATGTGGAAGGATTTAACTTGCATATCCTTTTCTAATTTACCCAACATTAAACTTGAATGAGAAACCATTTAATGGGTGCAGTCTAAACATTCTAGCACAGCACATTCAGATTATAACACATGTCTGCTTGTAATTAAAAAGTCAACGACTTCGGGAATAGTTTTTGCTCGACATAGTCATCAATAATGGCCTTGACGAGTTCTTTTGTCACCTTGGGATGTTTTAGTTGATAGCCGAATTCTTTTAACTTGCTATTGTCCAAATTCAGATGTTTGTGATAGAGCTGTTCTTCATCTAAATAAGGCGTCAAGGGTGTATTTGACAGACCATTTTGTTGGCAAATTTCCGCCCAAGGTTCCATGTGTTTGTCGTTGACTTCGCTCACAGTATCCGAGAGGCTGAGCTGTAAATGAAAGATAAATTCGTTAATTAAACACGATTTTGACTGACTTTGTTATTACGTTCTTACTTTGGTGAGATTTGACATCACTATGCCAAAGTAATCAATACTTATGGAAAATATTTCTCCCAAAATATCACTTATTGTGCCCTGGGTGGATTCCGCATCGTCTACGATGTTGTAAATTTCTCGGTTAGCTTTTTCACTTAAAGCCAACTGCCAAATGGCGGCGCAGACATCGTCGACATGAACAGTAGCAAGTCGCATGGCGTCGTTCCACAATAATTTCATTGTTTCGTTTAAATGTTTGTAAATGGCAGCAATAATAATTCGTGGCACTACAAATATTTATAAGCTTAATATAATAATAAACAGAGGAATTAGGGAATGGTATTATTAGGTAGCCTAGTAAGTATGCCTTTCGAATATATTGTCTGCTAGAGGTATTCATATCTACATATGACCGAAACTGCATATCAAATACTTACTAAGGTAACGCTTATCGCCAATGCCATAGACAATAGGAAGGCGGACGATGGTATAACTAAAGTTCTCCATTGATTGCAGTTCCTTTTCCACCTTTAATTTTTGTTTAGCCACTGCTGTCCATGGATCGGTTTTACAGTCTTCCTTCAAAGGACTCTTTTCGGAGCTATTAATACAGCCAGAACTTAATTCAATATAACGCTTTGACTGAATGTTCATGGATTCGTTGATACAGTTCGTGCTCAACTTAAGAATTCCCTCCTTGTAAACAGCATCAGTTTGATTTGGTCGAGTTTCAGCAGCGCAGTTAATTACTATGTCCCAAGAACGACCGGTTGTTGGGTGTGGCACAAATGCATTTTTACAGGAGTCTAAAATGAGAATTAAATTGCAGTTATAAATATGCATAGCTACAGATTTAATTGCTGGTAAATTTGAGTTACCAATATTGCTTAATATTGGAAATATGGCAAAGGGTTTTTATATTTCAACATGGTATTTGATTGAAAACAATCTGATCTGCTGCAAGCCGCTGTCTAGTTGTAACAAACGTATTTGTAATGTTGAAGTTAATCTTAATAATAATTATTTAATTGCTGGTAAATTTGAGTTACCAATATTGCTTAATATTGGAAATATGGCAAAGGGTTTTTATATTTCAACATGGTATTTGATTGAAAACAATCTGATCTGCTGCAAGCCGCTGTCTAGTTGTAACAAACGTATTTGTAATGTTGAAGTTAATCTTAATAATAATTATTTAATTGCTGGTAAATTTGAGTTACCAATATTGCTTAATATTGGAAATATGGCAAAGGGTTTTTATATTTCAACATGGTATTTGATTGAAAACAATCTGATCTGCTGCAAGCCGCTGTCTAGTTGTAACAAACGTATTTGTAATGTTGAAGTTAATCTTAATAATAATTACACCACAGCCTCCATTATACGTATATTAATATATATGAGTAATCTAGTTTTATTATCAAGTTTTACGTGCATCCATAAGTACGCATGTAAAGAGCGGTGAACATAAAATTTGCATTTCTCCGTACAATGTCGTTTATAGCATCATGTTTAGTCGTAAGAAATTATTAGAATATGTACACTGAAATTCAATAAAAATTTAAAGAAAGCGGCCTGACCATGAAATAACATTGTCTCGCATAACGTATGATTCACCCTAATGTACGTTTTCCTACTTACTTGCGTTTATCAAGTTAGCACTGCAAAAGTCCACTTTTTCATTGTCGAAAGCCTTCGATTGTGTTGCATTCAGCCAAGCCATTTGCGGAGGCGTTTTATCAACCACACGTATTTCGGCGGACAAGTTATTGTCGACCAAATATGTCAGCAAGTTGCGTCCGATAAAGCCGCAACCTAAAAAGAGTCATCAGAAGTTATATTTGTTTGCAACTTAAGAAAAATTGCCATTTTCTATAAATAGACGAATTGGATTTTTGGAAGCCACTTTGCGCTGAGCCCGCTTCGTTGGCCAATGTAACATAACAAGTGTGTGAATGGCAGAAGAACGCAACAATTACTCATTGCCAATGTAATCCTCCAATGTTGTAACCTACCTCCCAGTAATAAAACAGTTGGTTTTTCAGCCATATTTTGTTTGTGTTCGCTTTCAGCTCGGCAAAAACACAGTATCGCTAATTTCTACGATAAATTAAGAAACAGAAAACAATTATTTAACTTATTTATATACGGCAATTCTTATCAAAAGGGAGGGAGTTGATATTGTTTGAATCACAGCACACAGCAACAATAGAAGACTGGTTGCTTCCTCTAAGAAAAACGGCACGAAAACGAACCGCTGGCGAAGTAAATTTTTAAACAACGAAAACGTTCCGCTTTTGCGATACGTAATTGCACCGTAAACGTTAAGTTCGGAATTACGCCAAGGCGTAAGCTAAGTTAGTAAGTTTACGTAACACTAAAGAGGTCCCTTTTCGTAACGCAAAAGCGACACGTATACGTATCACTTATGGGGTACACTTTTTTATCGCCAGACGTGCAGTTTCCGTACTGAATTTGGAACAACTCTAGTTTAGTAAAAACGATCAGATTTATCTGAAATTTTTTCAGAGGTAGGTATTTTTACCCTAATTATGGGAATATCTTTTTTTTTCTTGGGGGACGTATCTGGTTACCCGGTTATATCCGGTTCTACGGATTCGGTTAATATAAAATGGGTATCATTTTAAAGATTTCCATTGAGTGGTGATATGATGGGGTTATCTCAAACCGTTTTGGAGATACAGCCAAAAAACCTTTTTAGAAAAACTCCCTAAAAGTCGAACTTGGGTCCATTATACTCCCTCTCCAATCCTGAATCCAAATGATAGACCACCCTTTGCCCTTTCCAAAATGGTGCGATATGTGGCTGTATCTGTTGTGGATCGAAAGATATGAGCCTTAAAACCCTATAAAAACGAGGAAATTCTTTCGCGTAGCCGGTGTTGGTATCTGTCCACAGGAAAGTCTTAAATCCCCGAATCCGTAGAACCGGTCAAATAACCGGGTACGTCCCCCAAGAAAAAAATATATTCCCATAATTAGGGTAAAAATACTTACCCCTGGAAAAAAATTTCAGAAAAATCTAATCGTTTTAACTAAAACCGTTTATTTTGACTGCGAGTTTCCACTGCCAGTCCTTTGCATATTGGAACCACATTTTGACGACAACAATAAAATCGGTTATCCTCGCGTTGGAAAGTTTGGCCACTGTACATTCTGTATTAATAAATGAAAGAGACGTGATGATCAGTAATTCCATGTCAAATATAGAATTGTTTACCTTTTATTGTAAAGTCTATTTCTTCATCTACAATGTTTTTTACTTCTTTACACAACCAATAATTCGACAAAAACAATTCAAGTTTCATCATGGCGTCCCCATAAACAAAACCAGTTATGCAGTCCGCACCCATTATGAAAAATCAGTTTGTTTTCGTAACGCAATAGCCATGATGCAATAATAAGGTGATGTATAAAAACAAAAACCTTTGTTTTTGTCTAGACCTTCTGATAATATTTCACATGGTCGGCAACATTGCACATCGAATTTAAGTAGAAATTATACATTTCGACAGTTAATCGAGACATCAGCTGCTCTAAATGGACTACCTATTTATTGTGCCATAGCAAGGTAGATATATGTACAAGGTAGCCGCATCGTCGAATTTCTACAACAAAACATCGGTTGTTGTATTTTGATATGTCAAAAATATTTTGCCAAAACAAACAGATTGACAAGATTTTTTACACAAATTCTTGTAGAAAATGTTAATAAAAGTATTGCTAAACAAGCTCTTCGAAATTCAGAGATTTTGTTTTTTAATTTTTTGGTTCAACATTTTTGACATTTATTTGCACCAACAGCTGGACCGATGCGGCTACCTTATTAAATATACCTTGTGCCATAGCAATAGCGGCACGTAAACGGACTGTTTTTGTTACTTGTAGGTTAAAATCAGTTCGTTTCCATTACGCAAAATCACTTCGCTTTCGTACCGTAAAAAACGGCACAGTTGCGAAGCCTTTTATGCCATGTATAGACGAGCGTTGTTCGCTCTCTCATTCGTTGTTCGACCCTTAATTATGAAGTAATTACTTAGTTCCCCATACAAAATTGTCTGAGCGAACACCGACTTTTGTAAGTTGTTCAATTCGAATCACTCTCTGAATAACCAAGAAATTTGTCCCATCCTAACAATTGAGAGTATTTATCGAAGATAAATTAATTTTGACATCATGAAAATTTTAATAAAATTTTCAAACTTTTCAGTAGAATTGATAAATGGTTCGTTCCCGTACTTTTTGATAGTAAAGCTAGTAAAAGAGCGAACTATCAAAAATTACTCTCACATACAAGATTTGCGCAAAAAATAAAGGAACGAAAAATAGTTAAAACATGAAAAAACGTCAAAATCAAAAATTTCATTTGTTAAGGACAAAAAAGACTACAGAAACCTAATGCACAAAAAAATAAAACAAAAAGTTAAACGGCGTCCATTGCGTGATTTTGATAATATAAATATTTTTTGTTTATTTTTTTATTTGTATAATTTAGAGGAAAGCCTTATCGAATATTTGGAAGTGGAGTTTTCGACGACTCCGAGCCCGGAAAGGCTTACATGGCTGGACGCTCCCATAATGTTAATGCTATTGAAATTGGTAGATATTTTGCGAACTAGAACAACAAGATATGGAACAAGTCAAGTTTAGGGGCTCCATTCGGATCATTTTGAAATGATTACCGTAAGTAGCCCTCCTTGTGCGGATTACAGTGATATACATTTCATGTGGGAAAATGCATACTTCCCGAGATATTGGCCGTGGAATTTCGGAACATATTTTGTTTAAAACCCTTTTCCTATTGCCACCAAGGCAATATGGGTATTATTAAAAGTTTATACCGGGTATTTTTTAGAGAACTTAAGAATAAGACATTCACATATGAACAGGCTCATACATGGCTACGCAATATATTCTTCATCTAGTTATATAACACAGACCATAATCTTTAAAATGATACGGCTAAATAAAACAACATACTCTCCGAACTTTCAAGGCCCATATCTCGGGAAGTATGCATTTCTCCCCATATCACTGTAATCAGTTCACCGAGGACTACTTACTGTAAAAATGTCAAAGCGATCCAAGATGAGCCCCTAAACTTGTCTTAAGCCCAAGATATTTTGGATATTTTGGTACGATTGACCAACCCAAGTCTTCATTATATAGTATCTTCATTTGAATCTTCTGCCAGCCATTCATCTTCATTCAAAAGAGAATAAAAAAACTGTTTGTCCATTTTTAAATTTCTTATTTGTTTTTTTTTTTTAAGCAAATGTGTGTGCGTCTGTGCGTGTGTCCCTTTTGTTGAAGCCCTAACTTTCATATGCTTTATTTCGGACTGTATATCTCTGGTAATCAAATGTCAAATTCATAATTTACTACATTTACTAAATGTATTAAATTAAATGTATTAAAAACAACAAAATTTTCAGAAAAAATGGAAAACAAGAATGAAAAGTAAATAGCTATGGATTCTTACTATATTCGGGAGAAAGAGAATATTTTTTCTATTTAAATTCATAGGTAATACACACAAATAAGTTGAGATTTCGGTGTAAAAAAAGAAGCTACAAATTTGAAAAAGAAAATTCTGATGACATGAATTAAGAATAGTGTTGTATGAACGGGTTAATTCATGTAAGTAATTCTGAGATCGAACTACGTTGTTCGAACGCTCGTCGGAACATGGTATTACACAGATTCAATTTCGTCTTATTTTTATATGAAAAAATATACAAGAGTTAGTGAAACGGCGGTCCGTATGTGGTTCATTTTCGCTTCGCAAAATGCGCTACGTTTAGTTTTCTTATGTACAGACGAGCGTTGTTCGCTCTCTCATTCGTTGTTCGACCCTTAATTATGAATTAGTTCCCCAAACAAAATTTTCTGAGCGAACACCGACTTTTGTACATTGTTCAATTCGAATCACTCTCTTAATAACCAAAAAATTGTCCAATCCCTAACAATTAAGAGCATTTATCAAAAATAAATTAATTTTTACAGTATGAAAATATTTATAAAATTTTCAAACTTTATCAGTAAAATTAAAAATTGTATAGTTTTTATATATGCAGTAGGATGTAAATTTTGTTTTCTACATAATGCCATATGCATTTCTTTCCCCTTGGTTCTAATTAGCGTACAAAACACGAAACAAATGTGGGAAACTCAAACCAAAAATTCTCCAATTTTTTATATGAGACATTTGAATTTAGAAAATATAAAAATGTATAAAAACAACAAAACAAACTATAATCACGAGAAAGATAATTACGTTTTCTATTTAGATCTATATACGCAAAATTGTAACATATTCACGCAAATATGTTACAATTTTGGTGTAAAACAAGAAACTATAAGTTTGAAAAAATAAACTCTGATGACATGAATTAAGAATAGTGTTGTATGAACGGGTTAACTCATGTACGTAATTCTGAGAGCGAACTACGCTGTTCGAATGCCCATCAGAACATAGCAACAGCCATATAGTTGGTGCTGGTTATGAACAGGGCTGCCAGATTATTTTTATGGAAAATCGTCAAAATGACGATAAATCGTCCAATCTGGCAGCCGCGATATGAATGCTTTCCTTGAGCGCTTTTTACCAACTGAAAAAAACGTTCCACCTGCTAACGAATGGGAGGAGAAGACAACATTTACGAATGACGTGGGATGGAGACTAAATGAGAACCGAATTGTTTACCATGGCCTATAAATAAGGTCACCCAGGGAGACCAGCTGATAATCGATACCTCTCAAGTTTGCTGTCAAAATGCATTATTGTGAATTGACTTCCATTATGAAAACGTAAAAAAGTCGAAATTTCTGACATTAGACTTGAGAAAAAACAGCTGTTTTCCGATTTCGATTGCTATCTTCGTGACCTTATTAAAAGATCTTGTTGTTTACGAATGAGTTATAGGCTATCTCATGGCCTATAAATAAGGTCACCAAGGGAGACCATCTGATTATCGACACCTCTCAAGTTTGCTGTCAAAATGCATTATTGTGAATTGACTTCCATTATGAAAACGTAAACAAAGTCGAAATTTTTGACATTAGACTTGAGAAAAAACAGCTGTTTTCCGATTTCGATTGCTATCTTGGTGACCTTATGAATAGATCTTGCGGTATCTATGGTTAGCGATAAGTAAATCGACTTTTTTATTGAAAAGTCTAATGCTATGTTCTGATGGAAACGTTCGATGGAAACGTAGGTCGCTTTCTGAATTGTGTACATGATTCAACCCGTTCATGCAACACTATTCATAATTCATGTCATCAGGATTTATTTTATTCAAACTTTTGGTTTCTTGTTTTACACGAACATTTCAACTTATTTGCTAGCATCACCTATGGATCTAAATAGAAAAAAAAATCTTTCTCCTGCTGGCATCACCTATGGATCTAAATAGGAAAATATATTTTCTTTCTCCTGGCTATGTTAGGTTCGTTCGTTTACTTAATAATTTGTACGAATTTGTACAAATTATTACAAAATGTTGTTCGTTTACCCAAAATTCCAGTAAAAGAGAGTGAATTGAGAGAGCAGATTTGACAGTTGTGTTACAGAGTATTTGCAAATTCTTACAAGGAAAATTTACTCAGTAAGAATTTTCTTGTACCATCAGCTGATATTTAATCAGCTGTTTTGTAAACAAACAAAAAATTGTTCTCAAGAAAATTGATTGTTTTGTGAATTTTATTTTGATTTTGTATCATTAAATACCAAAATGGATGAAGAAAATGCAAGTATTTAAAATAAATAAAAAAAGGTAATACAAGTGTAATTGGCGAACGGTTTTTTAGGTTCCAAATCCAAACAAAAAAGTGTGCATCCCTAACATGTCTGGAACACCATCGGTTATGTCCACCCCAATATCAATTGCAGATACAGGAATAACAGGTCACAACCCTTTTAAATGTTTGTGGGGAACAAACAACATCAATTTTCCGCTTGTTATCCATTTTTCTAATAAAAATGCTGTTTTTTAGTTTGCGCCAATTTGTTTGTTGTTTTAATCAGCTGTGTCGAAACAATCTTTTTACTGGATGTTGTTCGTTTACTTTTTGCAGTTTTCTCTCTTGAAAAGGAAAAATTCGTATTTACTCTCTGCAAAGTCTTACTGAGTAAATATTACTGGGAAAGTAAACGAACGAACCTGAGAGAGTCAAGTGAGAGAGCAAGTTTGACAGTTCAACAACAACAAACTTACTGGAGTTTACTGAAAGAATTTTATGCAGTAAGATTTTGCAAACTCATTCGTTTTTGGATCAGCTGTTTTATGACCAAACACAAAAATGTTTCAAAACTTTTTTTTTTAATTTGCAAAGTTCAAATTGAAGATAAGTGGTCTGTTCCCGTACTGCTATGGTAAGAACCCATGGCATAAAAGCTCTGTCTGTTTGCTCGATATTTGGTAACAATTGTTACCAAATGTTGTCTGTTTACTCAAAAATTCAGTAAAAGAGAGTCAAGTGAGAGAGCAAGTTTGACAGTTCAACAACAACAAACTTACTGGAGTTTATTGAAAGAATTTTATGCAGTAAGATTTTGCAAACTCATTCGTTTTTGGATCAGCTGTTTTATGACCAAACACAAAAATGTTTCAAAACTTTTTTTAATTTGCAAAGTTCAAATTAAAGATAAGTGGTCTGTTCCCGTACTGCAAGAATCTACTAGATTTTACTATTTTCTTCGATATCATAAGGGAAAATATGTTATCGTAGTAAAAAATAGTATATTCTTGCAGTACGGGAACAGGCCAAAGTTGTATAAAAATTAGAAACTAATTCCTTATATATTTTTATGCAGGTTCCAGATAGAGGGCAATGTATTGATGCAGGAAGCTTAAATGTTCCCGGGGAACATACCACATCAATTTTTCTTTTATTGTTCATTTTATTTTTAATATTAAATGCAATATGAATAATTATGTTCGTCCTTTGTTTGTTGTTTATTTTGGCGTAAATAAAAAGTTTTCTTTAATTAGCTGTTTATTTGCTAAATCTTACTAAATGTTGTCTGTTTACTTTTCTCAGTATTATCGCAAAAGAGAGTAAAAACGGCTTTCTCTCTGAACTAGAACTTACTGAGTAAATCTTACTGGAAAAGTAACCAGACACACCTATTATTACATAAATTAAAGTTTGAAAATATGACATGTGAAACAGGTGTTTATTGTTTTGATGCTATTTGGTGCAACAACTACAACAAATTACAAATAAAAGGACGTTTTTTATGATTTCAAAACCCGCATTGAACGATTTGATATTATATTATTTAATTATTTATTATTTAATTTCATTTTATTAAGCATAGTAACAAATCATAGTAACAAAGCCAAATAGGCCATTTAAGTTACACAAAACAACATAACTTATACTACTCGAAAAACTTATACCTATAATAAAATAACATATAAAAATTCAATTATTTATCCTTAATAACAATTTAACATAAAGCTAAAAAACGATTCATGTAACCGCAGTTATGTAAAAACAGAAATAAACAAACAAACCAAATTAACTAAAGTTTAGATATCATGAGATTGAACATATAATAGAAGTTTCTTTTTAAACGTACACGGAGAAAAATTGAACGCCTTAAGATATGGTGGAAGATTATTAAAAATTCGAGCAATTCTTACCAAAAATGACCTTTCCAAAATAGAGGTTAATTTCGGCAAAATAATTTGTGCGTTGCGTGTTGATCGCCCAAAGGAAAACAGTTCAATGACAGTAGACGGGAGTTGAAGTTTAAACATCTTATAAAAACAATACAAATTACGTATATTGACATAATTCTTAAAACTAGTACCAAGAAAATTTTCTACATGAAAGGAAATATGCTGATGCCAACCTACAGAAAACACATAGCGCATAACCCTGTTAAACAATAAACGCAATCTACGCATCACAAAACCACAACTACCACTGAAGACTTCAAGGCCATACAAAAATATTGGCATTATAAGAGCATGCACGAGACGTATCTTAATAAAACGTGGCAAAACAATGTCTAATGTGTATAACTTTCTTAATGTAAAGTTAACCTTAGACACAATAGAATTATTTATATTATTATTTAATATAATTTAATTCTACTATTTAATTTGATATTATATCTTCCCAAATTCTTAAAGTGTCCAATTATTATATGATTTGCTGCTCCTCCTTTATTTCGCCCTTCAAATTATGCACATGATAAATTTGAAAGAACAATATTTTTTGTAGTTTTATTGTTGTTCTTTCATAATTCTTATTTCAATTTATTTCATAAACGTGAATCTAGCCCAAAGGTCCAAAAGCGATTCAAATTCGGCTTAAGTGTTTCTTATAGCCTTTATACATTCTGTGGCAATATTTGATTGAGTATGCATCGTTAACAATAGGATTTCCAATGACATTTTATTTGTAGTTTTTGAGTTAAAACTATGCATACAACTATTTATAATATTCAAAATCGTCATAGAATAAATATTGTGTAGATATTTTTTCATACAAATATTTAATACATATTATTTGAAGTACCATTTATACAGGTTTAATTATTTTGCGATTTAGATTTAGAAAATCCACTTTTCCCACTCCCCAACATTTGAAAAATAAAATAAAACATTGTTTTGATTTTTGTTTATTTTTATTTCGTATTTTAGCTATTATCGTATTAACGAATAGTTTTATATTATTTATTTAAAATGCATTTGCTTAATGGACTGACTGACTTTGTTCAACTTAAATTCAATAAAGAAAAACATCAGAGTAAACGAGAGAATAGATTTTAAATATAGTGGCGGGTTATTTAAAATAAATTAAGACACTATTTAAATATAACTAATACAATTAAATACACACATTTTAGAAGTCACAGCGACAGTTAAAACTAAAAGATAGCCGAAGGTAACGGTTGGCTAATTTCATCTGTTATCAATTACGCTAAGATCATTTGTGACAAATGGGAGAGCAGTAAATATGTTATGATTTCAAAATTCCATTATTGCTTTGCAGAGAACTTAGCACATGTACTTTTCGAGTGTAGTTGTTTTAAGGTTTCCATACTATTTTCTGTTTAGCATTTAAAAAATGTTTACTTCTTTTTAGGCTTAAAATTAATTAAAAGAAATTGCTGTGTACTCCACCTCTTGGTCGGTGTTTGGGTACTGTTTAAGCTTTTTAGAATGCCAAACCAGCATCGCGATAAGTGGTGAAAATCTTTTCAATCGAGTTAACATAGGCAGCTGTTCTCAAATCGAGGCCCAAGTTGTATTTCATTGCGGTCTTCATGATAGCACGGGCGGAACGCTCCATGGTGTAGTCCAAGCCGGAGTGGACAATATCCTTTTCAGAGGCACCGGAGATACGTTTTTGGAAAGCTTCGGATGGAGTAACGGGGATGCGACCACCAACACGGCCAAAACGACGTTCCAAAGATTCTTGAACGGATTCTAAGAGAGGAAATAAAGCAAATAAATATAATTCGTATCGTGTTCACAATACAACACAACATTCAACAGTGAATGTATATAGGATTTGGGAATAGAGGTGCTGCTACAAACATAAGGCAAATTTATACATAAGAAATACGCAAGCGTTACATAAATAAAACTAAATCTACATAAACAAAACAAAATACAAGGTGGTAAATAGTGTTGACCCAAAGCAACAATAATCTATTAACACACATTGACTTTAGTCTGTAACTCGAAATACATATGTTGAATTGTACATTCTTACACAAATAACAATCACTAAATGTTTTTGAAAACGAGTTCCAAGACCTATGGTCGTTATTACAAAAAATAGATTTTTAAATGATTCTCTAAAATTAAATTCCAATCAAAAAAGGAGTTCGTTTTCACAACAAATATGTATTTCACAAGTCTAGATATACATGTATGAACTAATAATGCCGTGACGATTAAAAACAAAAATTGAAAATAATACATAAAAAAGAATATAAGTTGAACAAAATAAAAACATGAAACTGTACCGTCCAAAATAAACCGTTCAATAGACTGTTGTACTGAGGCTATATTGGTTTTAAGAAGAAATAGAGAAACGGAAAAAGAATAAACGAATTACTATGGTAAAAATGCAATATACCATACACATACAATAAAATACAATAGCATAAGTATGAATAAGGGAAATCAATGGTCTAACAGTCTTTCGTACGTCTTTACAAAATGAAGTTTACAAAACCATTATTGTGTCATGTCGCGGTGAAGGTGAAACAACCCAAAGATATTTGTGTGTCAGAACTAATTCTCAATATATAATTTAGCAAAACAGCTATATCGGATAATAAAGCCGCAAATAAAAACATGTTGTTTTAAATAAATGTAAAGGTCTTATTAGGAAAAATCCAACCAATACTCACCCAACAAATGATAGTTTGATTCACGTTCATATTTGAAGGTAAGACGGCCATATGAGACATGGTTCAAGTTCTTCAGCCATTCGAAGAAGGAAACGGTTACACCACCAGCGTTGATGTACAAGTCAGGAATAACCAAAATGTTGCGATCAATCAAGATTTTGTCGGCAGCGGGTGTAGTAGGTCCGTTAGCAGCTTCAGCGATAATCTATGATTATACGGGAAGCACAAATTAGAATATTACAATATATATATATATATTTTTTTTGTAGAATACCAACCTTGGCTTGGATTTTGTGGGCATTTTCACTGTTTATAACCTTTTCAACGGCAGCAGGAATGAAGATATCGCAAGGTTCAAACATCAAGTTTTCACCTTCATAGGGTTTGGCATGAGGGTATCCAACAATGGTACCATGTTCATTCTTGTAATCTTCCAAAGCCTATAAATAATAAGTTAATTATAATTGTTATTAAAATTCTAAACAAATATAATTTTCAATAATGGTACAAAAATACAAGGTAGGATATACTGAGGTGAAAAAAAAAATTGTAAAGAAAACTTTGCATGCGCAACAAGTTATTGTATTAATTTGACATTTTGTCAGCATTGATTTCGTTGCAAAATTGAAAAGAAGAAGAAATTGAAAATACCAATTAATGTTTATTTAATCCATCACTAAGGAATGAAGTAATAAATGGTTTCACGCAATTTTTTATAAAAACAAAAATATGTATTTTGATAAAATAGGACAGAATTGCGTCATTGTCAAATTCTAAGTGGTTAACAATTAATTCTAAATCTTTTGATTAAGAAAACATTAATTTATTAGCTTAGTTAATGAATGTAACTCTGCAAATATTTTGAACTGAGTTTCTTAATTTAATAATAAAAATATTTTGTTCACAGACAAGTATTGTGTTTTGACTTGGTCTTTTCTTACAAACAAATTTTATCAAATAAATTAACCCATTCGCTGGCCAGAAAGTGTTCCTTTTTTGGAACAAATGTATGTGCATAGTTGCTACAATTCAGAAGTCTACCCATTATGCACTTTAAGCCCTAATGTAATTTATATATGTATTATTTACCTTAGGATCAATACCCTCGGGATTGAAAATGCTGCCGTCGTGTTCAATAACACCGATGCAAGTGGCACCGGCACGGGTCAAATAACGTGTAGAGTGAAGACCGACATTACCGAAACCTTGAACGATGAAAGTTTTGCCACCCCAGCCGGGAGTTGTGCCGATCATGCTCATGTAGTTGGCTTCATTGATGAAATTCTCCAGACCGTGGAAAACACCGCGACCAGTGGCAGAAACACGACCGTGAATACCACCTTGATTGATGGGTTTACCAGTAACACAAGCATGAGCATTGATATCCAAATGACCGATGGTCTTGGCATAGGTGTCAGCAATCCAAGACATTTCACGTTCACCAGTACCCATGTCAGGGGCTGGTACATCGACACCGGGTCCAATGAAACCCTTCTTGGCCAATTCAAGAGTGAAACGGCGAGTGATTTTCTCCAATTCGTGCTCAGAGTATTCTTTGGGATTGATTTTCAAGCCAGCCTTAGCACCGCCGAATGGTACATCAACACAGGCGCACTTGAAGGTCATCAAAGCGGACAAAGCTTTAACTTCATCGCGTGACACATCCATAGAGAAACGGATACCTGAAAATACAACAAACGTGAAAATAGTAAATTGAGGTATTACTCATTCGAAATCATGTGTGTAGTATGTATGAAATATTCAATAATATTGTCTGCAATAATGTTTCATTTGCTGCAACAACATCGACAAAAACATTTGGAAAAAAGCCAAATATTTTCAATTTTCTTTTTATGCAAACTGCTTTAAATTTAGATCCTGAAAACGTATGTTTTTTAATGACAAATATTCGAGAGTGTGTGTTTGTGTAAATAAGTGAAAATTGCAAAATAAAAAACTATTTCAAGGTTCTTTAAAGTCTATTGACTCGCCCGAGACGACCCAATTGCAACAGAATGTGAACGAAGATCGTTGAATTTACTCGTAGTGAGTCGCATACACGTTTCAGTTTCTTTTGCCCCCATTCTTCAATTTATATCGGCAAGTAATTGTGCCAGGAATATTACGAAATTAACGTGCCATACATCAGAAGCACGTGATTACAAAACGTGCGGAAACAAGTGGCACATGTGATCAGTGCAAATGAAAAAAAAAAACAAAAACATTCTTTTGCCAACAGATGTGAATAATTTGGCATTTATTTGCAATGCATTTGCCATAAATAGCAATTGTAAGGAATTTCCATCACACATGTTAATTTATTACGATATCTTAAACATTCCTTTTGATGTTTTTTTAAGCTAGCTATTGTTATGTTGAAGGTCCAATATCCAATTGGATACAATAAATATAAATACATATCTAAAAAAGATATCAGTATTTAAAAGAAAATGTGTTTTGTTTTTGGAAATTCTTTATCGTAAACAAATAAAAGTATCATAAATGGCAATTATTGCTTATGATATTAAAATGGACTATTATACTGTGATAGTTCACATTGCCAAGAAATATGATTGATAATTTATTACCCATTTCTTTCATAATCGTAGTTCAATATCATACATTTGATAACACAAATATAGTAACACCTATAACCCATTTCAATTACAAAATGCGCGCGCTTTTGAATGTTAAAAAATCGTTGGTATTTTAAATTTTGGAAAATTACAACATATCGAATTTGTACAACATAAAAACAAAACAATTACTGGGGATCAAATCTTCAAAATTATATCCCTATGAAATGTGTGAAACTGAATTTGATAAACAAAATAATAAAACTGCAGAAAAAAATGTTTTTTTTTTTAATTAATATTTGTCTAAACTGTACCTCTAGTAACGAGCATACGAAAATAACGAATTATTTATGATGCCATCACACAATGATACATAAAATGGCAAAAAATGTATTGTTATTTGTTAGAGGGCACTTTTTACGCCACAGACTGACAAACAAACGTTTATCAGTTTCTAAAAGAGAACAGCATTTATTGCCGAAATACATACAACGATACAAACAAAATGGCAAACTAACAACAAATAAAATAAGCAAACATCGTAGAAACGATAATGAATAAAAAAACCTTATCGGCTTTTTGGTTGGCGTTTTGTGTATGAGTAAACAACTCACGGCACTGAAGATCACCATTGCAGAATACCAACACCAAAAGTCCCGACGATTTCGGCCAACGCATACATTGATCGCGTGATAATGGTGTCAGTTTTGAAAGAGCCTCTTAATCTAATCAACAAACGTACTTTGAAAAACTAAAATCGAATTTTTGGCAAAACAAAAAAAGCCAGCACGTTGTTGGACGGCATAACATGTAGCAACAATTTAACTGGCAAACAGTGAAAATTGGGGGCTCGATCACTCGTCGCCATGTGGGGTGTGTTCTTTATATAGCGACAGATAACGACCAAGGTTAAATAAACTAAATAAACTTCTTATAACATACCAATTTCGTTTCTACAATAGAAAAACATATACATATATTTATATATATATATATATATAGTGCGATAGTCGAACACTATCCATATGACTTTGAAATAAAGAACGTCATCACAGCAGCGTATGATACTGTTCCTATAGCTAAAAACAGCAAAACAATCTGATATTCAATAGAAACTATAAAATAAAAACACACTCTAATGAATTTTGTCACCGCCTATAGCTGAAAACAAAAACATATTAAAACGGAAAAGAGTGAGACGCCCGAATACATACTTGCTTGCTAAATATATATTTGATTGTTTTTTATTCATTCTTTGGTTTGTTGTCAGGTGACTAGCTGCGAACTGGCAATAACAATAATAATCATATTAATAGATATTGTTGTTCAGGTTGTGTGCACTAATATTTTTGAAACAACAACATCAAATACAGACTTATTTTGTTTCTTATGATATACATCGCAGTAAATGCTTGTTTTATATATTCTTTGCATTTTGTTTGGTGCAATTTATTTGCTGTAAATGTAGATAATAAATCAATTGTAATGGAATTTCAGGGCTTTTGAAGCAACAGCTGTTATGTTTGCTGGTTTATATGGTTATATATGAGTGTCAAATAAAATAGAAAAAGAAGTTAAGTTCGGTGGGGCCGAACTTGTTTTACCGTACACAACAATTAAGAGAACTATAACAATTTAGAAATATGCCGGTCCCAAGCAACAACAGTATGAAAATTTAATTAGTACATTCATTATACGGGAAATCGTTGGTCCTTCCGAAGCGTATAAATCGAAAATATGGTCGCCTATATCCAATCCTATATATACCTATATCCTGGATATATCTGGTTCAAAAACAGTCAAATTGAAATTATTAAGAATTAATTGTTTTTTGCTTTTTCATACATTTGTGCTAATCAAATACATTTATGTCAGTGTTAGCATAAAATTCTATTAAATTTCCAACAAATGCTCTGTTTTTATTTGAAAATTACATACGGTAAATATCAAACCGACTACCGATAAATATTAGAGAAACCATTAAGTACGTAAATATTAATTTGGGAATATAACACAAATAAAGATTAAAAAGCGATTCCCTGGTCAACACACTGGCTATCACAAAAGTACTTATATCAGCAATAAATCAATATTAGAAACTATATCTAAGAACTAAGGTCCACTAATTGTGGTCTTAATGTATGCTTATACAAGCCGTTTACTATTCGGACGATCCTCGTAGTTTGATTGAAATGTGTACATATGTTAAGCTGTTGGGTAAATTGATAAGCGTTGTAATTTGTCACAAGACTTGATAAACGAATAAACAAATAAATGCATATTAAATTTATGACATATCATAAATTCTCGTACAGCTCAAGATTGTGTTTATGTGTAGTGTGCACATTGTGGAATACTTAAATTGTTGCAAACTGTCATGGAAGATTGTATGTGGAGAGTGAGTATGCGTATATATTTATTATCAATTATTCTAAGACAATCGCGCTATTTTAACTAATGAATTTTCAATAATATTAATAGAAAATCGATACTAATACCTATGGGTTTTATATTTAAAAACTGGTTTTATTAGCACCTATATTTATATGCGCACGAATATTAAATCTGTGGATTAACATATAGTAAAAAACAACAACAGTTTGTGTATTTATAAAAAACTACTTGTATTCTGTTTATTTGTCAAACTTATCTAAGAATATGTTTATCAATAAGATAACATGTTTATAGATCATGCGAATAACTGATGCTTGCTAACTCGATGTGGTTGCCAACTCGAGGCTCGAATTATTATTCGTTGATAACAGTTACTGCCTAATGCACCTATAATAGTAACATTGTTCACCATTGTCAATAAAATACCATGTGTTAATTGATTTCACTTTACGTTTTGCCTTCGACATTTAAAACGATAACATTAATAACAAAATACAAACAATTTCATTAGGAGGTTTAGAAGTTGTAGAACAACGTATTTGTAAATATTTGAGAAGTTGTTTGCTCACGTTCAAAAATCACTAATCTGTAACTTTAAAATATGTAAATCAAATAATTTTGTACAGTAGCTAAAATGGAATAGTAAATTCAAAGCTATCTGCTTAAATTTAAAACAGAACACAATTTTCGGCATTTTATAAAAAATAGCTCTACCGACACACCCCCTTTTTTCTGTGCCAATATATTTTTATTTATTATCACTGAAAGTCAGTTGGATATAAATTGAAAATATTTTAATAAAATTACATCTTCCGATATTAAGTATTAAAAAGATCTTATCTCTTTTTGGAGCACCTTTGACTCCATTATCAACTTAAAGAAACCGCCATCGAATTCTAGGCAAAAGTTCCAACAATTTTAATGTTGAAATTATGTTACTAAGTTTAATTTTTTATTACTATTTTTGTAGTTAAAATAAACTTTCAAAATAACGCAGGTATTTTATATTCTATATTGTAATTATAAATTTTAATTTAAAATCGACGCCTTTAATTTTACCATATACAGTGTCGGACAAAACATATTGAACTGAAATTATATTTTTAGTATTTTGCACTTTGAGGTCACAATTATAAAAACGGAACTTGTAATTTGGTTTCAAATTAATATTTATACATCGTTACGTCTTTTGCTGGCAAAAATATTCCAAAAAAAGGAAGTATTGTTTGGATTTCGTACTGTTATCATCAAAAGGAACTCGAATTACTTAAAAAAGGTCGCGACAAAACAAATTGGACTATTGCAAATGTTATCAAAACAAAGCTGCAAATGTCCCGTTACAATTCGCAGCATAGAATAATAGGACAAAAAGAATATTGGAACATGTGATGCAATAATTAGCTCTTGTTAGTCGTTAAATGTTGAAGGTGACTGGCTACGAAGTGAAAAGTGAAATTGTTATTAATTTTAAAGTTAAAGTGAAAATGGCGCGAAATAAATACAACGCACAGTTCAAAGAATTAATAATTAAAGATTTTCGAGACGGATTATCACAAAAAGATATTTGCAAAAAGTATGGTTTGCCGAAATCAACCGTCAGCTTCATTATAAAAAAGTTTACAACAACCGGAATACTAGAAACTGTTCACTGTGGTGGCCGTCCAAGGGCCACAACATCGAAAGACGATGCAAGAATAGTTAGAGAATTCAAAAAATATCCGGATAAATCAGCTACGAGTGTGGTAGAAACTCTCAACTTAAGTATAAGCAGTCGAACCGTACAAAGAAGAGCATGTGCTGCTGGACTTAAAAGTTATCGGGCTGCAAAAAAGCCATTCATATCGGAAAAAAAAGCTCGAATAAAATTTGCCGAAGAACACATCAGTTGGTCTTTACAGAAGTGGAACACAGTTTTATTTTCGGATGAATCAAAATTTTATTTAAAATGTTCTTATGGAATGAAGAGAATACGGAGACCAATAAATAAGAGGTTAGATCCACGATATTGCCAAGGCACAGTAAAACATGGGGGAGGTAATGTGATGGTCTGGGGTTGCTTTTCTGGAAATGGACTAGGACCCATACACAAAATAAATGGGATTATGGATAGATTCATGTACCAAGAAATCTTGCAAAGTGTTATACTTCCCCATGCAGAATGGAATATGCCACTGGTATGGCAATTTCAGCAGGACAATGATCCCAAACACACCTCAAGACATGTAAAAGATTGGTTTGAAAAAGAAAATATTCGAGTAATGAAGTGGCCAGCACAATCATCGGACCTAAATCCGATTGAAAATTTATGGAAAATAGTTAATAAAAAGATAAATAGAGAAGGTGTGGGAGGAGATAAGCAAAAACTTTTTGAAGCCTTGGAAGATGCTTGGATTTCTATAGACAAAAAAACGATAGACAACCTTATAGCTTCCATGCCCAGAAGATGTGCAGCCGTCCTCAAAAACAAAGGATTTTCGACAAAATATTGATTGCATTGTTTGGTTCAATATGTTTTGTCGCGTGAATTTTTGACATATTTTGGTTTTTTTTACAAAGATTGAATTTTTTATAAAATGTAGAATAAATCCTATTTGTTTTTAAAGAATAATAGTTGTGTTTTGAATTTCAATGCATATTTCTTTTTAAACATGAATAATTTTATATGTTCATGAAGTTTAATGAAAATTTAAATATAGTCCAATATGTTTTGTCCGATACTGTAGTTGCAGTCATATTATGTTCCATTTAAATGCAATAAATGTCAATTACTGGTACATTGCAGACATATGAGAATCCTCTTTAGAAACTTTATTACAAAATATCTCTTGACAAAATAAACCAACTAGAATCTAATAGAATATTAATAACAAATAGCTATTTCTATGTTATAGTTATAAATTAAATCCCAAGGGAACTGTTCCGAAAGTTATTCATTTTATGATAATCTACATTAAGAACAATCAAATGGGATATCATGGTTTGCGTCTTGTTTATTTCGACTATGTTTGCTTGTGGTGTTAAACATATATTAACGAACCACGCTTGCAATACAATGCACATATGTAATTGTATGCGAGTGTGTGTATGAAATAGGGAGACATTAATCAAATTATTGGGCAGGCGAAAGGTTTTCTTTTTCAATTACGGAACAGGTGAGAACAACATCCTAGCATATATGACTTGTATAATAATCTTCCCTTCTTTCCACCTACCCATAGTGGTCTATGCCACTAATTATGCGACAAAAGAAAAAACGCTTAAATCTGTTTAGCCAACAAAAAACAGACTTATGTATGTCTTATGCATACATGTACTTGACAACATACCACCTCCAGAGGTGGGTGACTGGTAAAAAGAGGATCACAAGGGTTGAGTGTAGGGCAGTAGCTAGCACCTTATGCAATTTCTTTTTTTTATAGCCACTCGTGCAGTTTCTTAGTCGGTCTGTCAGCCACCTATGTATGTTAACACACAAACATACTGCATTATTCGCATGTTGTGAAGGGGAAAGCATTTGATAGATAAAATATATATTTTCGTTTATTACTGAACGACGTACATACATTGTTTGTCTACTACTAGTGCTTTTGCTTTTGGCCAAGATACCAACAACAATAGAGATTGTATGGCAATAGAAGAAAAACAAACAACTGCAAAAATATTATATACAATAATACGTTTTTTTCGGTGGCGAATTATGCGTCAATAAGAACATGTTGAGCAAAAGGAAAGCACAAAAATTGTATTACATAACCAAATCGCATCAAAAAATGACAACTCGCATACGAAATTAGGCGAACAAACAAAAACACACACACAAACGCATTGTCGCATGGAGATTTTGCAAATTCTATTGATATTGAACTAACACACACACCGACGGTCTAATCCGCCTGCGAATTGTTGCTTTACTTATTTATGAACAAAATTTAGATTTTGGATTTTCTACTTACCGCCCTTGGTGGGAACACGGTGAGTGCTGTGTTGGGCACGGTAACCGGTGATAAGTTCAAAATCGCCTGAATCACGACGTAATGGGAATGCAATTTCGATGATGTGGTCACAGGGTTGCATAAGCATCAAGATACCCTTAACCTTCTTCTTCTTATCCTCCAGGGACAATTTGCCTTTCATGTCCTCCAACAAGCGGTCTTCGGCGATTTGGCAGCCACGGTGGAAGAAGTACTCTACCATATCAAAGAAGCGAGGGTCTTTGGCAGTGGGCACATCCTTTAGACGGTCTGGAATTTGGTAATCGGCATAGCCGCGAGCCTGCAAAGCGGCAGTTGGCAAGGCCTTGACCAATGTTGCCGCTTCTTGGCGGATGGCGGCATGACGTGCTAAATTCTTCAGGTGATACATTTCTCAAGCACAATTCAACTCCTCACACACAAAACCAAAAATCTTACTGCTACCTCGGCTATTTTCTATCTCCACTGTTTAATGTCCGGTGGAGCTTCTCAACCGATACCTCGAACTGACTGACAAAAATTCCCTTTGCAATGTTTAAATTGAATTTTTTACGATTACACTCGGCTATATATATGCGAATGTGTGTGTTCATGTCTTCGCAACAGCATTGCCAGCAGCAATTGAATTCTGACGTGGGCATAGAAAATCAATATGAACGATTTGTTGGCCAACAAAAGGGCACTATCGGTAAAAGACAGAAATTGTAAAAAAAATTATATTTTTTTACAAAGGTATAAACTAAATAATTTGTTCTTGGGATTTTGATAAATTGTCAATTAATTTTAATCATGGTATAATTATAATATATTATTACTTTAGAACGAAATCATCTGGCGCTTGCTGTTACCTTTTATTATTATATCATGAATTTTAATCAAGGTTTATTTAATAGGTTGTATGCATTGGCAACAATAACTAATATTTTACGTAAACAATATTGTTGTTTGAAAAATATGGGTAATTTTAAAATTTTCATAATAAAATTGAAAAACATGAATGAAATATATTAAATTTATGATTATATGGCCTACACATACTTCTTGTAATTGAACCATTATCGGATGTGTCTGTAACACATATAAAAATGCTGAAAATCGGGAATTATACTATTGGAAAGATTTACTGCTTCAAACTTTCTCAGAAGGCAGATTAAATTAAATAAGGAATAATTTTGAATTTAAATTCTACTAAATTTTCCTGCTGTATCGTTTTTAAAAAATAATTTGTCATATCGAACTTAACACGATTATTACGTTGGAATAAAATCAGCTGAGTACTGCAATATATATTTAATTTAATTGTTTTATTACTGTTAATAGTATAGCTTGTAAATTTCTTATATATGGTATTCGAATTTGGAATTGTGAAATACATAGAATAAATTAATAAAATGGAAATTGAAACTAATCTTCGACAACACGAATCTAACCGCGCTTTGATTTATCTTTTTGATCGAACACGCCATTATTTATATACTATTTTCGCTTTTCTTATAAAAGAAAATCATCTGAAAAAGACAAAATCATTTCAGTGCACACATCGATCAACTCCATAAAATGAAAAGTTGAGAAACCCAATGATATGAATTCAACTATATTTAAAATCATTATTATTATTAAGAAAAGTTATTCTAAATTTAAAAAATTTACGAATATTGCCATGTTCTGACGGGCAGTCGAACAACGTAGTTCGCTCTCAGAATTACGTACATGAATTAAACCGTTCATACAACACTATTCTTAATTCATGTCATCAGATTTTTCTTTTTCAAATTTGTTGTTTCTCCTTTTACATCGAAATCTCAACTTATTTGTGTGTATTACCTATGAATTTAAATATTTTTTTTAATACATTTTTATATTTTCTCATTTCAAATGTCAAATACTGTCACATATAAAAATTTTGAGAATTTTTTGTTTGAGTTTCCTCAAATTTGTTTCTTGTTTTGTACGCTAATTAGAACGAAGGGGAAAGAAATTCATATTGCATTATGTAGATAACAAAATTTACATCCTGCTGCATATATAAAAACTAGACCATTTTTTACTTTTCATTCATTATTTTCCATTTTACTAAAAAAGTTTGAAAATTTTATAAATATTTTCAAACTGTCAAAATTAATTTTTTTTCGATAAATGCTCTCAATTGTTAAGGGCTAAGCAGAATGCTCGCGTTGAGCCATCCGTCGCGTTATATGTTATCGAAAATACAACAACCACAAGGAAACGATAACACAAACGCTCGAAGTTGATGTGCGCTGCGCTTCGGAGTTAAATATATTTTAACTTTTTGCGTGCGCTAACGCGATAACAAAAAACGTTTGCGTTATGTGTTATCGAAAATACAACAACCACAAGGAAACGATAACACAAACGCTCGAAGTTCATGTGCGCTGCGCTTCGGAGTTAAATATATTTTAACTTTTTAGGGCTAAGCAGAATGCTCGCGTTGAGCCATCCGTCGCGTTATATGTTATCGAAAATACAACAACCACAAGGAAACGATATGCGCGAGTGTTATCGTTTCCTTGTGGTTGTTGTATTTTCGATAACATATAACCCGACCGATGGCTCAACGCGAGCATTCTGCTTAGCCCTTTTGCGTGCGTTAACGCGATAACAAAAAACGCTCAACGCGAGCATTCTGCTTAGCCCTTTAGAGATGGGACACATTTCTTGGTTATTCAGAGAGTGATTCGAATTGAACAACGTACAAATGTTGGTGTTCGCTCAGACAATTTTGTATGGGGAACTAAGTAATAACATCATAATTAAGGGTCGAACAACGAATGAGAGAGCGAACAACGTTCGTCTGTACATGGCATATACCAAGGACTTTGACACTTATCAAAAAGTGCACCCAATCAATTATCTACTGAGCGTCTCATATAATGAGAACTGCTAAAATTTTTAGTCATTATAAACAGATTCCAAAAAAAATTTTGCTGGGTTGTCGATTACTCGTAAAGACACAAGTAACGATTATAGAGTAGGCAAGTACTTGCCAACACAACCGGCAATTCGCGAAATTCATTTTGTTTGCAAAAACGCCTGTCATCGGTTCGCAGATTGAGTGCTTGTTTATAAACAATTTTTGGGGATTCTGTAAGGGCTATTAAAGCGATTATCGCTTTCCCTATTTAAGTTCCAAAGCGTACAGCTGCCGGTTGCATGCATTTTAAAGGCTTTCCCTATTTAAATAAAACTCTCAAATTGAAAATAATTAACTTCTTTGTTCGGCACGAAGGATCTGGAGCAGCACAGCGAACAGCACCAGCATACGCTTACAATACAGTTGCTGCAGGTGTCGGCAACCGCATATTTTCCACTACTGCAACAACAACGTTGAAGGCAGCAAAGTGCCACAAGGTTAGTATGATTTGAAATAGAAATATATAACATTTATGTTTTTCATTCCGAATATACTTTTTCATTGTAGACAAAGTGTGTGTAGCATTTGTTGGTTCTTTGCCATTAGAAAATATGATAAGTTGAGCTGTTTTCAGTTGTTTCCAAACATTTTTCTTCTGCTTTTGTTCATTGCAGTCAGTTCAGTGCACCACAAAATATATTGGTTGGCGTCAGACGACAATATCGGATGCTAGTTCTATTTATAAACAAGTGTTTGTTTTGGCAATCACAATTGCTGCCATTCGCATATTTTGTTATCTTCTATGCACATCCATACATACATATACACAGTGTATAGATTGGTTTTGAAAGATTCCCAAAACTCGTTGTTAGGCGGTCTTTGTTATAATGGATAATTAGCAAGTCTATTGTTTGAATGTGACGTATATACTACATATCTATCTATGCCTGTGCTTGGCAGGCTATTGAAATTTTATAACTGATAAGAACACATTATGATCTTTACGTATCAACTGCAAATAATGGTCAGACTGCATTTAGCTTATAATTGCAAAGCATGTCATTATGTGAACATTTGTGGCAGTACGAAAATGAAAAAAGTTTTGATATTGAGAATGAACTACCTCCAATGCCTTGCCTTCATAGAAATCTGTTTTTTTAATTTCATAAAACAATTTGAGTAAAATGACTCATATAATTTAAAAACTTTTTTCGTCATAACAAAAATTTATCGCAGAATATAAACTAATCAATAATGCTTCGATTTTTACGAGATTTTTTATTTCATCATAGTGAATGCCCGCACGCCAGCGAATAAGTAATAGTTTTTGTTTTTTACTTTTACTACGGTGGCTATAATCAATAAAAAATACTCGTATGTACTTATCTATTTGAGTTTAAAGGTATTCTGGTGATTGTTATTAATCTCGAAACGATAATTTTTGTTTAGCTAACTGAATCTAAGATAAGTCTGAAATCATAGATAATAATAAGATTAATTTGTTAATTCGCCATGTGGTTTAGTCAGGTGTAGTGCGTATTGACCGGACAAACATGTGGGAACAACGCAGGAACGAGCCAGATGTAGGAGTTTATATTAACTTTTCTATAAAACAATAATTTTATTTTCACATTTATTCTTGTTCTATTTCAGATGGCAATTGATTTAAAATTCAATGCTACGCTCACAAAAAGTGATCCTCACTTTAAACCAGTATTGATTATTGGCCAACTGAAACATTTGAACTTACTTAAGTTTTCCGATGTTGCTTGCAAGTTGGAGCCTCGTGTCACCGAAGACACATTTAATAAAGCTGTGTCCTGTTTACATCCATCGCCAACTGATAAAATATCGTTGTATTTGGACGTAGCCACTGTTGCTGCTGTGCCCCTTAAGTGTTCACGTCACAATACACCATCTCGAGCACATGCCATAACACGTTTGGTAAAGAATAACGTTCTCAATGTAAGTGAAGAAAGCATCGTCATAGTTTGTGAAAGGGCAGATCTTTTCGCTAGCGCTTGCGCCGTGGTTCGAGCTTTCTCTCTATATTCTCGTAAGACCACTAACAATGTTAGCAGTCCTTTGTATAACCGAACTGGGGATCAAGATGTACCAATGAAAAATGCCGGGGACAACTCAGTCGTTAGCATAGAATTTGTCATCATTGAAAAGGATGGATCAGTTTCGGAGACACCTTTAGATACTTCTGAAATTTGCTGTTTGGAGGTTGCTGCCAAGGGTGTACAATTAGCAGCTCGCATAGTTGATACTCCCTGCAATGAAATGAATGTTGACCATTTCGTAGAGGAGGCAGAAAAGATTGGCAGTGAACTTAATATCAAACCTTTAGTAATACGTGGCGAAGAACTACGAGAACGTGGTTTCGGTGGCATCTATGGCGTTGGAAAGGCTGCGGCTGTTCCCCCAGCATTGGTTGTGTTGTCACATGAACCAAAAGGTGCCCAAGAAACGATAGCACTCGTTGGTAAGGGTATTGTTTACGATACTGGCGGCCTAAGCATTAAAGGAAAGACTGCTATGCCTGGAATGAAACGTGATTGTGGTGGAGCAGCAGCAATTTTAGGTGCATTTTATGCGGCTGTAAAATGTGGATTTAAGGAAAATCTTCATGCTGTATTCTGCATGGCAGAGAACTCGGTTGGACCAAATGCAACAAGGTAATATTTTGTTTAAATGTATTTCCTGAATTCAGTTACTCTATTTTCTAAAAATTTTAGCGCCAAAACAAATTCGCCAAATTCTAGTCAATTCATAGTGTAGGAAAATATGTTAGTCCCGAAGGTTTAGGAGAGAGATTTTTTTTAAAAAAATAACGCTATTTAGTCAACTTTTGAAAGGGACACCTAATTAGCAATATATATGGGCACTTCGGAAATCGAAAACAATTACATTTTTCACAATTATCCCTTTATACCCCTTTTTTGTAGAACATTAGGAGTACATCAGTGGTAAAACGATTTTTTTAAATATACTTGACTTTAGACATCACTACTAATAATGGGAAAATTCTGCGAATTGTGTGAATATTTTGAATTTTTAATATTCTTTACATGAATAAGAGATACCAAGCATTATTATTGCACTTTCAAAATTTCAAAATTTGGCATATCCTTTATTTGCAAAGGATTTTTCTCGGTCACTCACGCGACGTAACTCACGCGACATTGTTGATTTTGCTGTTTTTATTTCTGCAGTGTCTGGATTTATAGTCATTAAATAAGTATTTATGCTAACAACAAGAAGAACAAATGAGGAATGTGGTCTTTCTTTGTATTTGTTGCCTTTATTTAAGCACAAGAAACAAATTCTTCGATTTTGGTTTACCTTTTTGCGGAAGTGCCCATATACAAAAAATATATATACAACTTCGTGTTAGCAAATTAAGTCTGATAAGTAATTTTCAGAAGAAAAAATAAAATTCTGTAAAAATAGAGACTTATACTTGTCCTTTAAGTGAATTTCTAACTTTTGAGTTTTTATTTCGATTTTTGTTAATTTTTATAAATAGCGGCATTTAAATTAATAATTCAAAGGAGTACGAATTAGATGTCCCTTTCAAAAGTTAAATTGTTACCTAAATACCGTTATATTTCACAAATTATTATACCCATGATTATTTTCTAATTTCACACTTAATCGTGTGTGCTAATTACGTGACCACCACTGTACGTAGCTATCGTATGAACTAGGATAAATGTTATCGGTCAAGATCTTCCTTATTCTATAACTTGGTTTGTATCCAAAAATATGGAATTTTACAAAACCCATAGGAACGCCATTTTGTTAATTTTTGTCTGATGTTAATAATCCTAGTTCATACCAGAAGTTCATTTTTGTATTCGGACATCACAAAGGTCGGAAATCATGCTCGCCGTCGAAAATACTAAATTTTCTTTAGTTTCAAAACACAACTACAAATCATGGAGGGAAGTTTATAAATAGAATCCCATTTATATGATATTTTCAATTTGTATTGAAATTGGTATATCTCTACTACATATGTCCTTGCACCGTTGTAATCAGGATCTCAAAAGCAATCCGAGACTGGGCCTTTTACTTGACTTGCTCTAAACTCTGTAAAATAATGTTTTTTATAAGCATGCATGACTTGTGTCATAATATCGAAGCTAAGCTCACATATTTAAATAAAAAAAATACTAAATTATTTTATTACTTGACCGCATATATTTTTCTAAATAAAATCTTTAATGTTTATGATGTATTGTTTCACTTCTTCCCTTTCCATGTCAATGATATCCTTTTTAATTCAAAAACAACAATCGACCCATCTTCCAACAAAATATGCGGGCTGGCAAACGAAACCTGCGATGGATAACAAACTATTTAACACAACACAATGACAATAACCATTATGTGTGGGGTATCCCCGTGTGAACGATACTTGCTCGTTGTTCGTTCTACGGTCTGCATTCTGTTCATGGACTACGCAAAATCAACCAAACGACACCAACTCTGACAAACACATGCATTGTATATACAACAATTAACATGGCAACTATGTATGTGAATATGGCAATGTAAACATAAATATTCGCACGGATGCTCGCTCATTCCAGACCCGATGATATCCACACATTATACTCCGGACGTACGGTTGAAATTAATAACACTGATGCCGAGGGTCGTTTGGTATTGTCCGATGGTGTTGCATATGCTCACAAAGATCTAAAGGCAAACATTATATTGGACATGGCAACACTAACTGGTGCACAGGTGCGTATACGTATTCAAAACAAGATATGAGGCATACGTACAGTGGAATCGCGATAACTCGTAATGTCAAAGAACAATATGAATTTATACAATTATTTATTAAAGTTTAAAATGTTAAGGAGATTGTTTAACATAACGACATATTTATACACCGGTTTCTTCAAATTGTTGGAATTCTAAGTAATTTTAGAATTGTCCTGGCTGTCATTGTACTGAAGCAACTAAAGGGCTCAAATATATTTTGAAATTTGGGTACATGAGACTATATTGATTATATAATTACGCACTAAGTTCTTGTTAGTTAAATACACCAAATGCAGTATGGCGCGGTCATAATACATCGCAGTTCATCTCCGGTTACCATTAAGTTCTTATTGGTCGCCGTTTCAATTTCATTCCGATGGAATTCTCTGTACCATAAGTATCATTAAATATTTGCATTCATTGAATGTTCAAAGCAACTGTTGATATTTATCACAACCAAATATTGACTAGTGTCCGTTTGTTGCCACTCAGACGATTTTATCGACCGTCATCATGAGAAATGTTTGAAAATAAATGAAGCATATGTTAACCAAGGTAAATATAACGCTATTGTTTTGAATATGGCAATTGTTGATTTTAAATGCCGATTGAAGGTAGACATTCAGTCTTATGTATATATCCATGTGTATGTTATAACTAAATATTCGTTTTTTAGTACCTTCGCCATAGAGTGCATATTAATTTTATTATTTCGTTTGCAATATTCGTCGAAGACCATAATGTTTATCCCTGAATTGTGTAGAATTATGATTATAATTATTGTTTTTGTATTCCATCCTCATAGATCGATATTTGACTTAACTACCCATATAACCCCGACCGAAATTAGGGACCTCAATAGGTATTGTGTGGATGGAACTATTCAAATAGTTCCCATATAAACAAAAACCTTTTCTTGCGTTCTCACACTTCAATTAAAATGAACGTTACCATACATGTGAAAGACACAGACATACTCGTGGTTTCGTTCATTGTGTGTATATGACTGCACGGTTAAATTTTAATAAATACAAATTGACTTGAATCGCTTGCATGCACTTTAACAAAATTCATTCTGTTTTGCAGGGTATTGCTACAGGAAAATATCACGGTGCCATATTGACAAATTCTGAAGAATGGGAAATTAAGTCCTTGGAAGCTGGACGTAAATCTGGAGATTTATTGGCTCCCTTAGTCTACTGCCCCGAATTGCATTTCTCTGAATTTGCATCGGCCATTGCCGACATGAAGAATTCTGTTTCGGTAAGTAGCGGTTTAAAACGACGAAGAATATTAAATTATTTATTATGGAGAAGAACTGGGAAGGAGTGATAATGTATTTACAGAAATTTAATTACCACACATGTTTATACAAGTGTTGGATTTCAGTGGAAGAGTAACGAATTCGAATAGTAAAAAATAAAACAAGCATAAACATATATTTACTAACTTTTTCCACGTGAAATATTCCAAAAAAATACACTGATTGTAATTGTGAAAAAATTTAAACGTTTAAACACATCTAATTACGATATATATTTCTGGGATTGTTCAAGGTAGATATATAAAATTGCCGCATCTGCGAATTGGGAACATTATATCTCAAAATAAATTATGAATTAAAAATAGCGTAAAAGATAAAAACGATTCGGTATTGTTAATGAAGGAATTAATTTTTGGCGATACGATGACGTGAACCCATTTCAAACACAACATAAGGTGCGAAATTACAAACAAATATTAGGTTAAGGAAAAAATCCATTATTTTTTTTGGCAGATGGCTGTACTGATAGATTTCTCGTAAAGTATCGATTAAACAATTAATACTCATTTGAAGGAGACCAGGAGCTAAAAATCGACCTTAAAACTATTTGCAATTGACCAGAAACGGCCAGAATTGGCCAACAGTAGAGGTGTCGTGTTCCACCAGGACAACGCTAGGCCACACACATCGACAGTGACTCGCCATAAACTTCGGGACCAAAACTTTCCAAGAAAGGGAAGTTTTAATGCATCCGCCGTCCGGACTTGGCACCAAGCTATTATCTTCTTTTTCTTTCATTGCAAAATTTCTTTAATGAAAAAAAATTGGAATCTAGGGAGGATAGTGAAAATCGACTACTATGAAGTTACCTTTTAGAATGGCAACAAATCATACAACAAAACGGTGCATATTTGGCCCAATTCGGTCATTTCGAAGTATGTTAAAAAATTCCTATAGTTTATATAAAAATAATGGATATCATTTTCCCCAACCTAATATTTGAAATAGGGACTTATAATTATATGGATGCGAACATAGAGAGTTTTTAAAATTTGAAAGAAAATTTGCATTCAGTTAGAATCGAAAATGCAAAACTAAACAAACTGAATTCTTCAATACTACAACTCCATAATGTAGTTCTGGATTCATTGATCTTTATTCTTATCATGCAGAACTTTACAAGATGGCCTTTCTTATTCGAAGCCAATATATTATCTTATAAAAGTATAAAAGCTCTTCTAATTTTAAGCTATTCTGGACATGACCTATATTTATGCCGTTATTTGTTTCTTAAGAATTGTTTTCTGCCATTCAAGAACAACAAATTGTTGTGACATATTCAATTCCGATCGTTCTTTTTTCATTAGATTCTGATCGATTTGATGTATTCCGAAAATCTCTGCATATTTTAAATATGGCAATATTTCTATAATGAAAACATAAACCACATAATTGAGAATAACATAAAAAAGAATCGGAAAAAATATTGTGTTTTTTGTAGACGCAGGCACGGTTAAACTGTTTGGTTTGTTGCTGTATACTAGCAACACCAACAAAGTCGTTGTGTGCATTTATCGCGATGTGATAACACACAACAGTGGGAAAGGTACGGAATTGTTTGTAAATGCCTTGTTAACTTCGAAGTAAGGCTCCAGCGAAATTCTCATACAGTTTATGTCGTTGGTCAGCTAAGTACTTCGCTTTGTTACAAGAGACATTTGGGTACGAACTGTTTTTTGTATAGAAGCAATAGCTTCTGGGGAGAATATCCCAACAAAAAACTAAGGGAACTGATGAGGATCAGTGGCGTGATCCGAAACTATAGTCTTCCCTGCATTACCCCTCGGCAAACAATGCCATACATTCCCCACTAATACAAAGTTGTTTTTTTATCAAAAACAACAAACTGGGATTCAGCCTGACTATTTTGCAAAAACAAAATACAAATGGTATCCCAAATAAACCGCCAACACTTCTGTATTACTTCTCTCAAAATATTTTAAATTTAAAGTAAAAATAAAAAAAATTGAATAAAACATTTCATAAAATTAAGTTTTTATAAATAATTAATAATTATATATATTATATAATAATTTTTATTATTGAAAAAAAGTTGTAATATTTCTTCATACATACAAATACATGCGTTTTGGAACCATCAGATTTTTTTGCGTTCAGACTAATGCAACACTAAGATTTTTAGTGTTCCGGGAAGTGGAACACTACTATTTTTAGTTTGGGATATTTTCTTTCGAATTTCATACGATTTTCGGCAAAATGCACAGGAAAATGTGCAGAAATTCTAAAAGAAATCTCAAAGAAAATCGGTCCAATTTCTAAGAAAATTTTAGAGAAATCGCAAAATTTCTAAAAAAAAATCAGAAAGCTCGAAAAAAATTCTGAAATCTTGAATGAAACGGGCCCTCCACCATAGTATGAAGCGTATATTAATTTTGTTTTTCCGTTTGTAACTCATCGAAATAATCATTTCCGACCCTATAAAGTATATATATTCTTGATCAGCGAAAAATTCTAAGACAATCTAAGGGGTTTTGAACGTAATTTTCAACCGAATTGGCTGTAATTTAGTGCTTCGAGTTCTTATTGGGTAGCAAATCTCTCCACAAAAAATATAAATATAGGTCAATTTTTTTCTGGTAGCCCCCATATAAGGGTACCCCCCAAATGTCGGTATTTTGGGGTTCTTGAGCGCGTTTTTCAACCAAATTGCAGAAATTTGGTTCATTTGGCTCTTATTGGGTGCCAAATATCTCCACCAAAAATTATAAATATAGGTCCAATTTTTCTGGTAGCCCCCATATAAGCGTACCCCCAATTTTCGCTATTTTGAGGTTCTTGAGCACGCTTTTCAATCGAATTCGCTGAAATTTGGTATTTTGTAGTCGTATATTGTAACAAATTTCCCTACAAAAAATTATTAACATGCACCCCCTTTTTGGGGCATTCCCCATTTAACCCCCTTTTTATATTAAAATAGTTATGCAATTTGTTCCGCGTTTTGGGTTTGGTTCTAAGACTCTGTTGTAATCATATCACCTACGGAGGATATCGAGATAAAAACTAGAACGTAAGGTTCGATAGTGAACTATATTTGAACTATAACCCGTATTTAGACCTAGCCCCTGTGTGGGAGGTACCAGAAGGAGTGGACCGATATTCCCCATCTTCGAACTTGAACTAAGTTTGAAAGAAATAATAAGATGGCCAAAGTTTGGATGAAATCAAAATTTTCTGAAACAAATTTGGTCCAAAGAAATATGGGGTCTAGAACCATTTTAACCGTGTCAAAGTGTATACACCCTCATTATGCATAAAGCTGAAGGTATACTTGTCCATTAAAAATGTTTGAAATTTGTTTACTCTATGTTAAAATATTTAAATTCCAGTTTCAAAGTTTTGCAATAATTTGTTGTGATAGAATTCCATATTTTATTAATTTCTCCTCCAGTTATTTGGGGTTAATTCCTTAACAGCATTATCTTTATAAACCCCGGGTCCGCAGAGACTACAGGTCTGTATAGAAACCAAAACACAGCTTTAATTAATGGGAAATGTGATGACTTTCAATGCTAAATTAAGTTTATTAATGTCGTACGAACCTTTTATGGTCAAAATTAAAAACACTCAATTATTTTTAATATTATTAAAAATAACCAATTTTTAACACAACACAAAAAATTATCTTTCAAAGAAATGTAATTTGGTTTACTTTAGACCGTTTTTGTGGAGAGATTTGAAACTGAAATTTTAATATTTTAATATGGGGTTCGATCCTATGTATATATACTACCTTAACCAATAGGGTAGTATAATACATACTGGTGTACTGTGATATGACGGCTGATACAAAATTTATCTAGCCACGAATGTACACATATATTCAGTTCTTATATGACTCTTGTGCTTCCTGTCTTAAAAAAAATGCTATACCAATATGCAATTCACAAATATTTTCACTTACAATCATCCAGCAATCCAACCAAACATTGGGTTAAATTCTACTTTAAGGAATGTTTATAAATTTTTAATTCTACCATACATATATATGGAAACAATATAATCTTTTAAAAACATTTGTCTCGTATCACTCGATTGTTTTTAACAGAAAACTCTGAAGAAGATATTCGTACTGACAATGTAGTACTGCATGGTTGACCTTGTAGTTGAGGCAATTCAGCGAAGTGCGTATTACTATAAATAATTTACAGGAAATTAATGCACACATTGCTAATAAAATTAATCAGCGTCAACCTCCTAAACGGATCTTTGTAGCTTCCGCCGCTTTGCACCGTGACTTGTAATCCTTAGCAATTCTGGTGATCTTTTGGCAACATATCGATTTTATGGACACATTTTTGTCACTACTTTCACTTTTTTCAGTTCCTATTTTAGAAAATTATGATGATTTATCCTTCAAATTAGAAGTTGCATACAATATACCCCAATGTGGCATTCTCTCCAACGCAATTTATTGTCTTAAATGCTTCAGACACCATTAACTGCTTTTGGTTGTGTTTGCCCAAAAAACCTGAATATTTTTGCCATTCACGTTGGTGTCCGTAAGGATTTTTTTGATTTGGTGTGTGTGTATGTGTCTATTTTTGCTTCATTCCGGATTGCCCATCAACTCGGACTCCATTGCAATCAACTAGGTTTCGTTGTTTTATTTTCTTTCACTGGAGCCGGTCTGAAACAACATTTCTCAGTCAGTGTATTATTATTCCGAAAATTCCCCATTTTAATTGTTCTAACGGGGAGTGCTTTTTCCGTTCAAAGAAATGATTTTTTTCGGATGTTTCCATTCAAGAAAATGTAAAGCAAATCTTGAATTAATTCTGGGAAATATTAGATTCTTATGTACTTTATGGTAAATTCAACGTTATTTAGAAGAATAATACGCCGTTTCGTTTAAATGTTAATCAAACAGAAAACAATCCAAGGAAAACATATTTAGGGTATTTAGAACGTTGAAAATTAG